AGAGAGAGAGAGAGAGAGAGAGAGAGAGAGAGAGAGAGAGAGAGAGAGAGAGAGAGAGAGAGAGAGAGAGAGAGAGAGAGTATCCCGATAAACACAAAAGTCAATTTGTGGTCGCTGCCACACATAACACATTGCAATGTCTGTCCACCGTTTTCGACGCGGGGACCAAAGCGACAACCAACGAGACATGCATAAATATCCACTACTGTCGTCAATAGCAATGCAGAACACTTTCGAATAAGCGCTTCTTGTCTAAGACATTTGCTGGCTATGGTAAATGACTATGGTTCGTTCACGCGGCTTGCATAAAGTCCGTGGTTGGATCAGAAGGCGGATGATTCGCCAACAACTTCCCACTACACATCAAAACAAAGCATATCCACTCCGATCCTTCTACCCGGAGTCCGTACAGTCAGATTGAGTCGATCCACCACAGTTCCGTGGACTACGCAGACTGCGGATCGCATCAGCGAGGACCATGTATCCGTTCTCGACCTTCCCCCCCATTATGGATGCCACCCTCTCACGCGCTGCAATGTCCTTGTCCACAGTCTGTCTCTGCGCCTCCAGCTGCTGGATCGCAAGCTCACGTGCGACGTCACACCGCATCTTTGCACACTCACGGTCGGATCGCGTAACAGCGATTGTGTGGTCACGCATAGCTCCTGTGACAGCCTTCATACTGGTCTCACGGGCATTACTAGCTACTCTTTTACGTTTGCCCAATGTGGAGTAAAAAATGCTTCCCCTGTTCCCTCCTGCAGCCCCACCTGACGAACCTCCGCCCGCTTCCTCGCTCAGCCCCTCCGTGGTGGTATGATAGTTCCCCTTTTCCTGAGCTTCTTCACGTGCTTCCTGTTGTGCTCTGGGATCCCGCAGCTGTGACAAGCTGATAGAGTATGTGTCCTTTTCCACAGGGTCGATGACGTCGTACCACGATCGCCTGAGAACGAAGTCCACATTGTATCTCTTGCGCTTCGTCTGGTTCATGTCCCAATAGCTTGGGAGACCGGACCACTTCTCGTGGATCTTCAACCTGCGGTAGAAGTCCATCACTTGATGGAACTTTCCTTTGCACTGGTCTTCATCACGATTAAAACCTTTCTCCCACATACGATCAGCAACCATCTTCCAGAAGCCGGCCTTCGCACTTGCCCTCCCCATCGCATCCGTATAATCACCCAAAACCTCCTTCGCTTCGTTCCGCGCCCGACACAACACTGTTGTCTCGTCCTCCCCGCAGCTCTCGCTGTTCTTAGCAGCATCTGCTGGCCTGACATTTCCATGCCGACCTGTCCCCTCGGGGGAAGACCTCCACCCCCAACACTTCTCCTTCGAAGGCGCCCTCCCCCGGTCGAGGGGTCGCCCCCTGTGCATTACTAGCATGCTCCGGTGTCACAGCGGTCGGAGGTGTGTGCACAGGGGGAGCCGAAGGGGGAGTCACAGCGCCGCTGGGTGGAGGCGGTTCACAACCCTCACCTTGGAACACCCCGCCTTCGATATCGCGCACCAATCGATTTAGGATGTAATTGGAGGGCGGTGTATGCGGCACAGTACAGGCCGCTCCGTCGAAGTTCACACTTGAACTGCGTGGTGGATCRGACTGCATGCCAGGCTGTGTGGCCGATTGGTCAGATGTGGTAGGACATCCATGGTACGACATGGGTGACGGAATGGGCCCGGAATGCTCCAAAGCACGTGTCACCCCTTGCTGACTCTGCCCCTCTGCCATGGCCATAGCACGCATCCTCAACTGCATCCTCAGCGAATTCTCGTCTTGCCCATCAACCCCGTACCTGATGCCAGGTACGGGACTCAACTCAGATGGCAAACATCCACGTTGGCTGCCACCGCCAGCCTGCTGAGCACCCACGAATGAAGGTGTGCCGTCAAAGTTCAAAGATCTAGACAGTCGTCCGGAAGTGGGACCGTCGGTGGAGGGACGAGCAGGTAAGGGTCAAAAGCACTGCGACCTGGGCAACTGTGTGCCCAAAGTGTCATCTTCAACTGCTTGCGATGCTGTCCTGCGGAATTCTCCAATCACCCCTCCATGATACTGACCTGCGGAGGGAAAGGATCCAAGGCCGTGCCCAAGAGGGGGCATTACTTGTGGGTCTGAGCGTGAAGTCCCAAACTGGGACTCAGAAAAGGCCCAGTCCTGAATACAGGACAGTCCAGCAGGGTCATTCGTGGAACCCATTGCGTGTTGGAGTGGGACCAAGACAGCACTTTTCCAGTGATGGCAACAGCGACGAAATGCCAATGAAGAGGAAAACGACGAACGATGGGCGTTGCAGTTCTCCCACTCGTACGGTACACAAGAACTGCCACTCACGGAACGGAACGGAATGGAGCAGTGCACAGAAAAATGTGTACGGACCCACACAGCCCGTTTCCACTTGGGCGAAGTTTTCCATTTCGGGAAAGTTCTATGATTTCGGTGCCTTCCTTGTACGGTACACAAAGCGGCCTACAATCACATGTGGGGAAGGAATCCGATCCGGATGTGGGACCAGGTACGCAACAAATGAATGGATGTGGCCAACGTTGAGACCGTATTCGTTCGGCCTTGCTGGAACTTCATCATGATTACGGCCGGGTTGTGTGGGTGTCAGACGGCCGAAAACTTTTAGTTTCTTCGAAGAGGACGGCCTTGGCGAAGTCTTGAAAACGCCCCTTCCCTTCCAAGTCTGAAGAACGAGACTACAATACCGAAAAAAAAAAAAAAAAAAAAATCATGTCCTCTTCACGAAACGGCCACCGATTGGTGGAAACTGTGAGGCCACACAATGTCCGTACCTCGAAAATGGCCTCCATCGATACGGGATGCCATCCACGGCTGTCATGCGTCACTGGATGCCACACGCGATCGAAATCCTAACAACGACGTCAAGGACTTTGCTAGTGGGTCCCAGCCGCTGGGCATGAAGGTGCAAAGAAAGCTTCCCGCTAGAATCTTTTCCATCGGTCGGGGGTGTGGCCAACCCCAAAAGAGGGTGGGGTTGGCCATAGGCCCACTGGATAGAAGATTTTCAGTATTTTACTTGCTGTTGTCCTGGGGGATAATTTAGATTGTGACGATAATTTTCGTTGACTTTTTGAGTTGTTGGGCTTGTGAAATTGACAGGGGGGTTAAATCTAGTGGTGTCCTTTATGTGTTTGGCCGATGATGCCTTGCCCACCTTGGGGCCCACATAATTTTGTAAGGGACGCGGGGCCTGGTTCCCGGCTTTTATAAAGACATTGTTCATTTGGAACAAAAAAAAAACAAAAAAAAACAAAGAACAGAAAAGAAAATTATCTCATTGGGTGGAGCCCTCCTTCAATCACGGAGTATATGGCGGGTGTCAGGATCACTGCTGACAGAAGTCGAGTTTATTCCAGAAAATGTGGCAGTTACTTTGTTCACTGTTGTTGCAACCACCACCATCAGATCATCTGTGATCTGAAGACTGGGAAGCACTTGGGAAAAAAAAAAAAAAAAAAAAACCAACCGAGGTCCCAGAAAATATGATGGACTTATATATATATATATGATGGAGAAGAATTAAAAAAAAAAACAAAAAAGAACTACCGACGTCCCGACAGCTCGACCCGAGTCAAGAAAAAGAAAAAAAAAACGCGAGCCGCACATTCGGATCGCGGACTTGTACGTCTCGGAGCGGGATCTCGGAAAAAAAAGAACGGGATCGCGGATGCTTTAATTGCGTTCCCGTTTGGTCCCTCCTGACATATCTCTCCCGCTCGTGTACCTACCTTCTTCCCCCGAAAACAACGTACGGTCACTATAGCTGTATCTACTATCTAGACTGAAAGATGCCTCAAATGCAGCTTTAATGACCGTACGTTGCATTCGGGGAAAGAAGGTAAAAGAGAACGGGGTCGTCATGCAGAAGAGTTAATGAAAAAGGAAAAAAAAAAAGAACGGGGTCCTGTAACGGCGTCGCGATTGGCGGCTACTGTGTCGCTTTTGATGTTCTTTTGTTTTTTTTTTAATTTTCTAATCTCTTCCTTTTTTCTTTTTCTCATGTTCTCGGTAGACGCCCCTCCACGGTTCGGAACGGAACGGGACCGTTCGGTTTTGAGGCCTCAAAGCTCATGTTGCTATCATTATTATTATTATTATTATTATTATTATTATTATTATTATTATTATTATTATAGTATTATTAGCAGTTACTATCATTATTATGAGTATTATCATTATATCGGGTGGGGCAATGACTATTCAACCCCTAGTTCTCCGTCGATGTCCTTTTTCCTTTGGTGCTTCCCGCCTGGGGCCAAGCCCCGTTAGCTTGGATTCTTCCTTTCTGGCCTTTCATCTTCGTAATCGTGGGTCACAAATGAAAAATTAGGGTAAGGGCCTCGCCACACAACTCTCGAAATGTGGAAAAGACAAAAATGTGGCGGGTGCATCTGGCTATGTTGTGCGAGGAAGTTCGTTCTCATTTTGCGCATTTCGAGAGTGGTGTGGCTATGCCCTAAGAGGGACTTGCCTTAGGGTCTGATCCTGCTAGTGGGACCTCGGCCCTGTTTGTGTACCGAGACCGATTGGCCCTTACGCTATTCCGTATCCCGTCTGATCAATTTTTTTTTAATTTTTTTTTAATAGTGGGTTTGTACAGCTTTTACTCATCAACTTCCATCATCTGAGTCTGGATTCGAACACGAACACGAGTCTGTATTTTCAACAGTTCATTGGTGTACCCACTGAGCTAGGCTCTTCTGTTTTTTTCTTTTTCTTTTTCTTTTTTTGTGGCCGTCGTCCCACGGTTCGGAACGGAACGGAATTGTAGATGTAATAGTAGTTGTAATACTGCCTTCTTCCCCCGAATACAACGTACGGTCATTATAGCTGTATCTAGACTGAAAGATGGCTCAAATACAGCTGTAATGACCGTACGTTGTATTCGGGGGAAGAAGGGTAGTTGTAAAAGCTGGTTGTAAAAGTCTTTCATGCATTCAACTTGTTTGGTTGAGAACCAGGGGCGAGGTCCCACTAGCAAAAAGGATTGGATTGAATGCCTGCACCTGGACATGTTTGGAAAAAAGGTGCAGAAAATGGAGATTGAATTGCTTTTCTGCACCTCTGCTTAAAACATGTCCAGATTCAGGAGCATTATCCAATCCTCTGCTAGTGGGACCTTGCCCCAGGTGGTAGGTCTCAGTATTAGAGCGTATGTGATGATGTTGTTTGGGAATCACTGATTGTTGGTAGCAACTTAGGAGGGATAGTTGAGGTGCAAGGTCCCACAAGCAAAGAGGATTGGATTAAGCTCCTGAATCTGGACATGTTTTAAGCAGAGGTGTAGAAAAGCAATTCAATCTCCATTTTCTGCACCTTTTTCCCAGACATGTCCAGGTGCAGGCATTCAATCCAATCCTCTTTGCTAGTGGGCCCTCGCCCCAGCAGTCTGAATCCGACTCCGGCCGGCGTTGCCGTGTTGCCAGGTCCTGAATCCGGTCTGCTTTTTTTTTTTTTTTTTTTTTTTTTTTTTTTTTTTATGGGACACCGGGGGCAAGGTCCCACTTGCACATATTAAGAGATCCTGGCCGTTGATCTTTGCTATCTACCGTAAATATCGCTTAATTCGTGTAAGTGGGACCTAGACCCGGGCCCGTTTTCCCGCTAACCGTTTCTTTTTGAAATAAAAGGACAAAGAGTGGGAATTCCGTTTCGCGGTAACCGGGCCCGTTTCCCGGTAACTGGCCCGTTTCTTTGTTTTTTTTTGTGATGGGACACCGGGCCCGTTTCCCGGTAAGGGTTTCTTTTGAAATAAAAGGAGAAAGAGTGGGAATTCTGTTTTTGTTCCGTTTGCGGGCTGAAAGGAACAAGAGGGCACGTAGGCGTAAGCAAGACCAAAGCGGGGGCAATCCCTCTTCTAAGGGAACGGATCCCGCAGGGGGGACACAGAAAAAAGTAGAAATATCCCCGACACCCTTATCCTCCACACGCCCCGCAAAAATTAGGTCAAAAAAAGGTGTAATTTTGGAAAATACCCCCATAAGTTGAGATACATGCCAGAATTCCAAAAAAAAAAAAAAGTGCACTGCACGAAATGCCCCTCTGACGAAACAACAAAGGTGTGGAATACTCCTGGGCCGAGGTCCCACTCGCAAAAAGGATAGGATAGAGATGTTGAATCTGGATGTGAGTTTATGCAGAGATGCAGAAAAGCAGTTCAACATGGTGTCTGGAGATACTCTTTTTTTTTTTTTTTTTACAAAAAGGAGTATTGCCCTCTTTTGCCAAAGAGAATTTCTGTCAGAACAACCGAACGAACAGCGTGCACTGCGGCCTATTTCAAGGAAGCCTCAAACTATTGTCAATGAATATGGTCCGTGTGCCCAGTCACATGCAGTCGTCTTGACTGCCACAGCCATGAAGAAGTATTCATTAGTCAGACATTCAAACACAAGTTTAAACATAGATAAGCAATATGCACAGAGCAAACCATTAAAAAGACGATGAAAAGAACCGAGCG